TTCAGAAGGATGGTCTCTCAAGGACTCCATTCTAAAACCAAAGTACCTTGACCCCTTACAAGAGTAAGATCTAGCACGTTTGAGGAGGACCTACAAAGGTGTGTTCCTCGCCCACGTTTGCCATATTCAGGTTGGTTGATAGTATAAAGTCTAAGAGGGACTCACCTCTGTCGTTTATGTCGGGGGCTCCCCCATACGCAGTGGTGCGCGTTGGCATCTGCACCCACGAGCAGTTGATGGTCCTTCGGGCTGGCTTCTACCAAGCTCATGAGTTCTTCTGGTGGGGCCGTCCTGTCGTGTGCCATGTGGCTGGAAGCTACCAAAAGGCGCTTTTTCCCGCTCTCTAGCATCACCACGGTCAGGTCATCAGAGCTGTAGTGAGACAAAAGGTTAGCGTGTAGACCCTTCCGTACAAGTACGGCGGTTCTATTCCTGCTTACCGTTGGTGGATGGAGCAAATTGTAATTTGCGGACTTCAGTCCGGCGATGGCATTGCCTGAGGCGATCCATGGCTCCTGAACCAAAGCTATGTCGGCGGATCCTTGCTCCATGGCTATGAGGAGTTCCGTCAACGCGACCTTGCTTTTATGGAGGTTGAGCTGCAGCACCCTGAGTGTCATGGGTACTGGGCTCACCTCCATACGACGGGTTGACTACTACGGTCAGGTCACCGTCCTCTCCTTCGTTGAACTCATCCAGCGTCATTTCCCGGTCGGCATCCACGATGGTTTCCAGACCTAGGTCCTTCTCCACCACATCTGTCTTCAGGGTGTGAGCATCCTTATCCCCGGGATGATGCTTTTTGAGGCGCAGGTATACGCTATCCATGCCCCACGCCATCTTCCCGTATCTGGGATAAAGGATGTCCTCTGCCTCCTTGTTTATCTGGAGGACTGCACTTTGCCCCCCCTCTTTGGGTGATGGGGCCGCAACGTGCAGAACCTTCCAGTCCGCGGTTGGGATATCCGGGTTCTGACGCTGCAGCAGCTTCAGCGCCCGGTCCGCTTGGATTGCGATGGGGAAGAGTACCTTCGCTTTTGGAGTGGATTGGATTAGCTCCCTGTCCATCACCTCTAGCTTGGCTCCCTCCCACAGCGCCTCCAACTGGCAGACCGCTTGCGTCAGCCACTTTCTCGTCGGGTCATCCATGCACTTTAGGATTTTGACCCCATTTAGCCACCCAGCGCCATCGAAGGTGGGCATGGGAGCTTCGGGATCATCCTCCATCCGTGCGTACAATGACTCAACGAGACGTGCATGCACCATCTTCCACTGCGCCTCGGTCATTTTGCCGGCTTCATCGCTTCTGTCAATGAGGGCCACGATCAGGTGTCGTTTGGTCACCTCACTGACTTTTACGGTTTTTTTGGGCTTTTTCGCCATTTGAGGAGGGCCTGCCTCCTAAGGCCCGCGTTGCCGCTTGCTCCCCGGTGCGTCCATAAAGGCGCTTTCGGTTGAGCGTTGCCTTTTGTTGGCAAGCGTCTCCTCCACCTTGTTGGCGAATCCGCGAGTCGGACTCATATGGGGGAGTTTGGCGAAGTGAAGCCTCCCCTCAGCGATTTTCTCCTCAGCCCAGGTAAGCTTTGCCTTCTCCTCTGGGTATAGGGCGGCTTTTTCCTGGAGCCGATCCTGGATGCGGAGGGCAGCCTTGTACAGCGCCTTGGCCTTCATTCCCTCGCTTGACTGTTTTGGCCCGTCCCTTCGTTGGGAGCTGGTGCCTGGTTTCGGTGAGTGGATAAGCTGCACGCTCTCAAGGTCCGAGTCTGTATCGACTATGGCACGTGAGCGGCTCAACTTCCCCTGCGTAGTTTTTTCGGCAGTAGCGTTGCAACTGACATGACCTGCTCCCGTCACAACAGAGGTGTAACCGCTGGAGACACGCAGAAAGGATTGCACCCTCGGGAAGGGTTCAGATGGAGGATTTTTGCCAGGCCGATCAGACCTTAAATTATTTTGGCAATACACTTAACTGTGCTAACCATTAATAATAATCAAATGTTGTAAATCATTCTCCCCTTGACCTAACGGGTCTAGGATTAATAAAGAACAATAAAATAACTTTTAGCCTATTATTTAACATTGCCTTAACAGGCATTCGGAGTAATAAACTTAACAAAAAAAAAAAATAATACTAATTTATCCAATTAGGGACTCTTCGTCGATTGTTCCCTGTGCAGCTATATTTTTCATAATCAAAATATTCTCTTGGAACTCTCATCTTTCTTTTCTTCCTCTCTCTCCTAAAGGGCAAGTAAATCAGCACTTCTCATTTTACGCTTAAATTTTCCCATTAACACGTTTTTCAGCTGAGCAAACGTATTAACTACTTCCGAATCTAAAAACATCCGTGCTAACTTTGTTATCTTTCCAAACGCTTGTACATACTTATGTTTTTCACTCAGGCTATAGATTTCGACATTTTGTTCACAATTGTTAAACCACTTTTCGACAGGAATAGTCTCTCCGTCAAAATCCGGAACCACATTTGGAAAATTTTGAGCTGAAATTGTTGTTTTATTCTGCTCCCTGACAGTGACTTCGTGCGATTGTATTTTCAGCGTGAGTAGCTGGATTATTTTTTAAAGGCTCGTTGTTTCTTCTTTAATTTGTATTTCCAATTTGTTTTCTTTTTTCAGCAGTTTTTCTCCCTGTAAGGCATTAAAGCCTTTTTATTATTAAATTAATGTTGGATTATGTTTAGATATAGAAAAAACGTGAATGTTGAAATCAAAGCAAAGGACACTTTTTGGCTTCTTCTGACCAGTGCTGCTAGATGACGACTTGATTGACGACTTTACCAACGATTGACGCTCCGACTGTTATGCTCGAACTTGATCCCTCGACGATTATGGTGACTAATTGATGACTTTACTCCAATTTGACAACTAAAATATTCAGTTTTTCCGTACCGCTTCTTTTCCTTTTATTTCTTAGACGTGTTACTGAACAGCATTTTTCCCTGGGCAATGCCGGGCTAGCTCAGGGTGGCCCAGGGCGGGTTCAACCCGATGCCCGCAGTCCGCACAATAAAAATACCGATTAATCGAACGTCTCGGAAAAACTCCTTACTGACAAAAAAAGACATCTCAAACATCAAAACGTAAACAATAAGATTTATTCCAGGCGGTAAGGCGACCGACTCATCTCCCCCAGGTAATAATGCTTACTCAATATTCATTGCGCTTTAATACATTATAATTTGTTGTTTCAGATTCGCTTATATTAAAATGGCAGATTGTTCTTCCCACATGTAACACCTCATTCGCTTCCGGCGAAACCGTGGCCTCAGCCAAGGATGCTCTCGCGCCAAGGCTGCTAAGCAAACGTGCCCAGAGTTCGCGGAGGAGAAGCGGAGCTCCGCTAATACGCAACAGGCCACAACCTGGCCAAAAGGATTCACTACTTCCAACCTGATATCCCTACTGATGCTCCAAAAGAAATAAGAGGGGAGTGGGTTCAAATTTGATTTTCCTGTCCAGCTTCTTCACACCGAATCGGCCCTATTGCTGCCTTGTGTTGCACAAATCCCGGACCCAGGGACTACGACAACGCAGAGGACAAATTACGGCAATACGTGAGTTTAACAATATAATAATATTTAATGACAGTACCACAAAAATAATCAACAAGTATGTATTAAGTTAATGCTTGCAGAGAAGCGTCGCGGTATTGAGCGCAGTGTAAAAAATGGGCGCGGCTGCCTCAAGTGGCCAGTATGGGTAGATGGCTCTAGAGGCGGCAGAACATGCGCCAGGATCGGTGCGGAAATTTATGGCCCTATAGGCGGCGGAAACTCAGCCGACAACCTAGGTTAGGGCCGGTCGACTTGTACGGACTCACCGCTGTCCTCCAGATGGCTTCCGATCTCGCCTGATGGCGGCTTGTGCTGGCGGCCGCTGGCACGCAAATGTGCTGGGACCTGATGTCGCACAGGTGTCTTGGGGAATGAGGGGCTCACCCAGTCCAAATCCACAGCGCGGCTCGGAGACGGCGAATGCACCAACACAAAAAGCACAAAAAAAAAAAAAAAACCGTGGCCCGTGTTATTGTTCACGGCCACGCTGTAGGAAACACCTTCTTACTAACCAATCTTGGTTATTTTCCTTTTCCACTTCACTCACGTTTTTTCTAAATCTTTTTTTGTTCCACTAGGTTCAATCTGCTGCACCGGCTGCCGTCCCGCTAATCTTCCTTTTTCTGTCTTCTACCCCCCTATATAGGCTCCGTTGCTTGAGTCCCAATTTTCGGCTTACCGTAATTTTGGCGCTCAGTGCAACCGCCGATTATCTTAACTTTGATTTTCCCGGTTTGCTCATCCGTCCCTGCTGTAGTATGCACACATATTGAATACGCACTGTACCAAGAGTACTTAAAGAGTGCGCACTGTAATACTTTGTTGCAGTGTTTACATATTTCAATGTCTCGGTCATAAACCATAAGTGGCCGAAATATGAACCGATCGTTATGGTTTAGCCCGCACACAGAAAGTGCTAGCGTCGGCATATTCATAGCGAACGGACTGCACACGCATACCCCCTCGCGCTTCCACTTGAGAATGCATAACCAGGGTACATAAGTACTTTCCTTTATATATAAGAATATATATACGCAGCCGTCTCTCTGCCGCCGCCTGCGAGCAGCGCTGCTACGAGACTTAGTTTAAATTATAACTTAAGGAATATTGTAAGAATCAGAAACCTTTTGAGAGTCGGAGCGGCACCTTAGCTGCTCCTACCAACCAAACAAATAAATAAAATATAAATTGAAAAACTCAAAATAAAAGTCTTCTACATTTTCGGAACAATAAGGATCAACATATTTCATGGCGACCGTGACAGTGTAAAAAAAAAAGAACCTGCATAAAAAAAAAAAAAAAAAAACTCCCTAAAAACTCCAAAAAATTAAACTCCAAATTTCAAAAAAAAAACAACAACAAAGAGTGAAAAATATCTATGTCACGCCCAAAGATAGGAATACGGCATTGCAGTGTGTCATTGGCAATGCAATATGAAGCCATCGAAACGGCAAGCGATATAATAGAGGAGCTCAGTGAAGAGGACACCAATAAGGACATCGCAAGGGAACTAAAAAATCATTTCAACGAAACTTATGGCCCGTATTGGCAGTGCATCGTGGGAGGAGCATTCGAATCGTCGGTAAAATCCCAGCCAGGTACGCTCATCCACTTCTTCATAGGAGAGCGAGACATATTGCTGTTCAAAAGCAATAGAGAATAGCGTGACGGACACGCAGAATCAACAACAATAAAACTATAACAAGTAAATAAAAAGTGATGGGAAGAGCTGGAGCAAAGAATCGAATGAAGAAGAGAATAGCCCATCTAAAGTGGCTTTTATACGCTAAAGAGCCACCGCCGACGTGGGCCACAGCACAAAAACTCCAAGCAGAGCTGGATTTCCTGAAAATAGAAGTGACTAAACCAACGCAAAAAAGCGCAATCACAACTGAACAAGCCATCAAGCAAATAAAATCACTATATAACGAGAAAACAAAACCACCACGTTCAGAGCCAATTCCCGAAAAACCGCAAACCTGCCCGGCCGACTGCCCCGGACCCCTCTTCTCAGCGGCGTGCAAATATACATGCGCCAAGCTGAATAAGTAACCTGTGCGAGGACCAGCACCGGTACCGCCTGAGCCCATAGGCCCAGGACATCAGCAGCTGAAACACCAACCTGTGCGAAGACCAGCACCGGTGCCGCCTGAGCCCATAGGCCCAGGACATCAGCAGCTGATAACATACGTGTGAGTGGCAGGCCGCCTCTTACACCTACGAGGGAGCGTCAGCAAAGCCAGGCCGGCGACGACCAGCTGACGCGGCGACACGGGATCCCGGAGCAGCAGAAATAGAATAACATTTGCACTGCGTTGCATATTTTTTTGCGAGTGCACTACGATGCACCTTTTTTTTTACCACCTATTGTAAAATTGAGCGGAATCTTTTCTGCCCGATCAGAAGTGTAGCCTGTAAAGCTATGCGAAAAATTAGGCAGGAAAATTGTTAATATAGATGCGCAGTAATGCGATAAGTAAATTTTCAATAGAAAATCACAACAATTTTAATGAAATCAGTAAACTTTCAATAGAAGATCTGAATAATTTTAAAACACTTCATACAAACGCAACAGAATTTTACACAAAACCCAGAAAAATGACTTTGGATATAAAAACAGTGGACTCCACTGCCAATGTCATCAACAAAGTAGAGTCCAGTAACATAGATTTATACTGGGTCCATATTCTTTTAATAATCATTGTTGTTGTCATGTGCGCTAATTTCTTTTATAAAATTTACAAACTGCACAGCAGGTGCCTAAAAAAGAAATACATAAGCCGGGGAAATGACCTGGATAAGATTTAGGCAATATAATAACAACAATGATTAAAAACTAACATATTAAATAATTAAAATCCACATTTTCAATAAAACAACATAACAACACAAACAATACACCTTCCTTTTTCCAATGGCTAAATGGATTGGAACACAATCTTTAAAGAATTAGGAGACATAAAATCGAATTTTGACAGGTCTTATAAATCCTTAGCCCAAAACAGACCAATCCAGAAGAACACCGTCAGGAAACACGTCGAAATATTGGTAGAATGCTTTAACGAAGCACGCATACTAATATATGAGCATAAAGATAGGTTGACCCAAGATCATTGGACACAAGTATCTAAACTTCTGATACGTCTACGATCTAATTTAATATCCATCAAACAAAAATTCGGTTTGGAAATATCGGTACCAACCGTATTGACAACACCAATAGCAGTCTCAACTGCACCTGACCCTGAATCGACAGAAACAAACGAGGAAGAGTCAGAGGAGCCGCCTGAAGTAAGTCCGAAGATTGAAGAAGAAGATTTGAACAATCTAACTATTCCGGCAACTTATACTGATCTAGAATCAGAAGATTCAGACATTTCAGGCGACTCAGAGGAAAACAAACTAAATAACACAATAACCATGGCCGATGAATCAATTGCCCAAAGGGCATATATCAAAGAAATCTCTAGTGCCATCCCAGAATTCAATGGCCAGAAGTTACATCTACAAAGATTCGTAACAGCGTTGAAGTTAGTCAATCTAACAAAAGGGACATTTGAGCACATCGCCGTTGAGGTTATTAAGTCCAAAATTGTGGGATCCACTCTATATAAAGTTCAAGACGAGACCACAATAAATGCAATAATCAAAAAATTGCAGGACACAGTAGTCGGTGAAACATCCGACGTATTAAAGGCTAAAATGGCCAAAACAATACAGAAAGGCAAAACTGCCGAAAAATTTACGACCGAAATAGACAACTTACGAAAGCTCTTAGAAGCTTCGTATATTGATGAGGGGCTCTCGGCCGAACACGCTGATAAATTCAGCACAAAGGAAGCCATCACCACAATGGTCAAAAATTGTGAGCATGGCCGACTCAAGACGATACTGGAAGCTGGCAACTTCACAACAATGAATGAAGCCGTCACTAAGTACCTACAAAGTAGTACTGAAATGACGGGTAATGCCAATACAATATTGTACGCGCAAAGAGGTAACAACTATCGCGGTAATAATTACAGAAATAATTATCGCGGTAGAGGTAATAGCCGAGGTAACTACCGAAACAATGGCTATAACCGGAATTACCAGAATAACGGTTACAACCGAAACAATTATAATAATAATAACAATAATTATAGAGGAAACAACCGGAGCGGAAACCACCGCGGTGGAAATAGCAACTGGTCGAACTCAAATAATCGAACCAATGTCCGATTGGCCCAAACCAATTCGGAAAACCAAGAACACCCTTCAGTTATTTAGAGCAAACAACAAGCTCAATAAAAACAGTCAACTTGAATCTAAGCATTTTCATAAAAATCAAAAACGAAAATACACGTAAATGTTATACACTGTTACTCGATACTGGTGCAGACATATCTATATTAAAAGAAAATATAGATAAATTTGAGCATGTAAACAATAAAATCCGAACTGAAATATCGGGTATAGGCGAAGGCACAACTTCTTCAAAAGGTTTAGCCTTCATAGAACTCACTAATGGCAAATACATTATTCCACACGACTTTCATTTAGTTAATCAAGACTTTCCAATACCTAGTGATGGCATACTAGGAATAGATTTCATAAAACAATATAATTGCCAACTAAATTTTACTCCAAGTGGCGACTCCCTAATTCTTCGCCCAAACAACTTAAATTATCCGATTGAATTGCAAATATTTCACACCTGTGAAAATAATGCCACAGTACTCCCAGCACGTTCCGAAGTTGTCCGTGAAATACAAATTCCAACAGCAAAAAATCAAATTCTGATATTAAATCAAGAAATTGATAAAGGAATTTATATCGCAAACACGATATCCAATCACCAAAATACTTATGTCCGTATAATCAATACAACGAATGCCAATAAAATTGTAAATTTAAATAATATCAAATACGAAACCCTTAATAATTATGATATAATAAAAGAAAATAACGAAGGAAGAGATGAATTCGTTATGAGTAAGTTAGTTAAAAACTTCCCGCCTTTGTTTAAAACTCAACTAAAAGATTTGTGCACCAGGTATACAGACATATTCGGACTAGAAACCGAATCTATAACAACGAATAACTTTTACAAACAAAAGCTTAGAGTAAAGGATGACGAGCCCGTATACATAAAAAACTACAGAAATCCGCACAGCCAGGTGCAAGAAATTCAAGCCCAGGTACAAAAATTGATAGACGACAAAATAGTCGAACCGTCAGTGTCACCTTACAACAGCCCACTTTTATTAGTTCCGAAGAAGTCTCTGCCGGACTCTGACAAGAAAAAATGGCGATTAGTAATTGATTACCGTCAAATTAATAAAAAATTATTGTCAGATAAATTCCCTTTACCTAGAATTGATGATATTCTAGATCAACTAGGTAGAGCTAAATATTTTTCATGCCTAGACTTAATGTCTGGTTTTCACCAAATTGAACTTGAAAAAAGTTCCAGGGATATAACGTCATTTTCAACGAGCAATGGCTCGTATCGCTTCACGCGATTACCATTTGGCTTGAAAATAGCCCCAAATTCATTCCAGAGAATGATGACTATAGCTTTCTCGGGATTAAAACCGTCTCAAGCATTTCTTTATATGGATGACTTGATAGTCTTAGGATGTTCCGAAAAACATATGCTCAAGAACCTAACTGATGTTTTTGAGACATGTAGGAAACACAACCTAAAGTTACATCCTGAAAAATGTTCATTTTTCATGCATGAAGTCACATTTTTGGGACATAAATGCACTGATAAAGGAATCTTGCCTGATGACAAAAAATATGACGTAATAAAAAATTATCCAGTCCCGCATGACGCGGACAGCGCTAGACGATTCGTTGCATTCTGCAATTATTATAGGCGCTTTATAAAAAATTTTGCCGATTATTCTCGTCACATAACTAGGTTATGCAAAAAAGATGTAAAATTCGAATGGACATCGGAATGCCAGAATGCCTTCGATCATCTTAAAACGGCACTAATAAATCCAACCTTGTTACAATATCCAGATTTTTCTAAAGAATTCTGCATAATAACTGATGCAAGTAAACAAGCGTGTGGAGCGGTTTTAACTCAAAACCATAATGGACTCCAACTTCCAATTGCTTACGCATCAAGATCCTTTACTAAAGGAGAGAGTAACAAGAGTACTACTGAGCAGGAATTAGCTGCTATTCATTGGGCTATAAAACATTTTCGACCATATATTTATGGCAACCATTTTACAATAAAAACAGATCATAGACCATTAATTTACTTGTTCTCAATGGTAAATCCAAGTTCAAAACTGACACGTATGAGGCTTGAATTAGAGGAATTCGATTTTACGGTAGAATACCTGAAGGGCAAAGATAATTACGTAGCTGATGCGTTATCAAGAATAACCATCAAAGAATTACAAAACATTACCGGATCAATACATAAAGTCACTACAAGATATCAAAGTAGACAAAAATTCCGCGCGGAACAACAAGAAAAAGAATTGCCAACGCAATCTTTAAATAAAGCTTCTAAGCCCAACGTATACGACGTCATAAACAATGATGAAGTACGTAAAGTAGTGACCTTGCATATAAAAGATATGTTGTGTTTATTCAAACATGGCAAGAAAATTATTGCAAGATATGAAGTTAGCGATCTATATACTAATGGAGTTATCGACTTAGGTCAATTTTTCCAAAGGCTTGAAATGCAAGCCGGTATACATAGTATCAGCCAACTCAAAGTGGCACCGTGGGAAAATATCTTTGATAACATATCAATAGATAATTTCAAACTAATGGGCAATAAGATACTGAAAACATTAAGAGTAGCGCTACTCAACCCGGTGACCCAAGTATCAAAAGATACAGAGAAAGAAGCAATTTTGTCTACACTACATGATGATCCAATACAAGGAGGTCACACAGGCATCACAAAAACCTTGGCCAAGGTCCAGAGACACTATTACTGGAAAAATATGTCCAAAGACATAAAAGAGTACATAAGAAAATGTCCGAAATGCCAGAAAGCGAAAATAACAAAACACACGAAGACCCCTTTTACAATAACAGAAACACCAGCACATGCATTTGACAGAGTAATAGTGGACACCATCGGACCACTACCAAAATCTGAAAATGGTAACGAGTATGCAGTCACATTAATATGTGATCTAACGAAATATCTAGTTGCAATACCTATTCCAAATAAAAATGCTAATACTGTAGCCAAAGCAATATTTGAATCTTTTATTCTGAAGTACGGTCCAATGAAGACGTTCATTACGGACATGGGAACAGAGTATAAAAATTCAATCATAGACGATCTGTGCAAATATTTGAAAATCAAAAATATTACGTCGACAGCACACCATCACCAGACAGTTGGAACAGTAGAAAGAAGCCACAGAACCTTTAATGAGTATATACGATCCTACATATCGGTTGATAAAACTGATTGGGACGTATGGCTTCAATATTTTGTCTTTTGTTTCAACACGACCCCCTCTATGGCACATACATATTGTCCATATGAGTTAGTGTTCGGTAAAACAAGTAATTTACCGAAACACTTCAATAGCATAGATAGCATAGAACCACTTTATAATATAGACGACTATGCTAAGGAATCTAAGTATAGATTGGAACTAGCTTATAAAAGAGCTAGAGTTATGTTAGAAGCAAATAAGAATAGGAATAAATTACTATACGACCATAGGGTAAATGATATAGATATATCAGTAGGCGACCAAGTATTGTTAAAAAACGAAACAGGTCATAAGTTAGATGTTAAATACACCGGTCCTTACGTTGTAACGGAAATAGGTGATAGGGATAATATAGTTATAGCCAATGATAAACATAAGACACAAACAGTTCATAAGGATAGGTTAAAAATCTTTATTTCATAATTCGAATTTAGTATGGCCATACATATTCACAAATACACACCCATATATACACATTAATACACTTACACAATACACAAAAAAAAAAAAACAAAATCAAACAAAACTAAAAACACAACAAAAAAAAAAAAAAAAAATAGCAAAAACAATTAAAAGTGTACTAATTATAAACCTTAGTATAAAATAACTTCACTATGTTACGTTATTTTTCAAAAGGAGGGAGATGTAGTATGCACACATATTGAATACGCACTGTACCAAGAGTACTTAAAGAGTGCGCACTGTAATACTTTGTTGCAGTGTTTACATATTTCAATGTCTCGGTCATAAACCATAAGTGGCCGAAATATGAACCGATCGTTATGGTTTAGCCCGCACACAGAAAGTGCTAGCGTCGGCATATTCATAGCGAACGGACTGCACACGCATACCCCCTCGCGCTTCCACTTGAGAATGCATAACCAGGGTACATAAGTACTTTCCTTTATATATAAGAATATATATACGCAGCCGTCTCTCTGCCGCCGCCTGCGAGCAGCGCTGCTACGAGACTTAGTTTAAATTATAACTTAAGGAATATTGTAAGAATCAGAAACCTTTTGAGAGTCGGAGCGGCACCTTAGCTGCTCCTACCAACCAAACAAATAAATAAAATATAAATTGAAAAACTCAAAATAAAAGTCTTCTACATTTTCGGAACAATAAGGATCAACATATTTCACTGCCTCCCCCTGGTCCTACCTCTATCGATAAATCGATAGCCCTCCAGTCCATTCCGACTTGAAATGCAACACACGCTTGTGATGTTCTTTTCTTGCCTCTATCGATAACCCTGATCGTACTTTACATACGTGTAATTTGGGAGTGGATTGCCGAACATGTGATTGATTGTGACTATCTTTAAAACAATAAATTTAACTTCGTACGAACTCATGAACTCATCATATAGTTTGCATAGAATCGGACAGACAGACAGGCTGTGCATGAAATGATATATTTACATACAAAAAAAAATTGTTTGTGGGTTGTACATAATATTTTTGTGGGTTGTATTACAGTAAAGTCACAATCAATGTATTTTGTTGTTTGATTTTTGACGGTATTAAACTTAACAAAACTGTTGTTACAGCCAATTACAGTAACTCTTACGTTGCAAATTATGTGAGTATTTTGTTGTTTGCGTTGGATTTTGGGTTGGGGCATTTTGACTGTGAAATTGGTGGGATTTACTGAAGGATTTTTTTCTGTGTCCTTTTGCTATGAATGTTTAAAGCTTATACCCACAATGTGAAAAACGAAGTATTAGTTTCAGGTAATTATTTTTACTTACTCTTGGACTGTATGATGCAATTTCGAGTTGAAAAGCGTAATATATCTACTAGGTCTGGCAATAGACACATTAAATGGAACCTACTTCAAAATATAAAATAATTAAAAAATATATATTTATTTTATTTTATATATATAACCTTTATTCCAGGTTCATCGAAGCAGGGAAAAAGCCGGCGAGCATGGTTGGGCTTCATGTTTGTTGCTAAATATATTTCTTTCTCATTGCTAAAAGAACTCTTATATTGTCCACTAAAGAGTCCTTCTGGAACTTCTAATATGTTTCCTTCAAAAGAAATTTCTAGTATGCATTCGGAATCCTTTTTGACTGTCTCTTTAAGGTATAAAACAAAAATGGCACTCCTTGGTAGTCGACTACTTCTTAAAATAGTTAAGTTATCAGAAGTCGTCCTAGTATAAAAACATAAATTATATTTCTTTTGGCTTAATAATTTAAAGGACTACTTACTTAGATTTGTATTTAAGGTTTTTTAGTTTAATCTCCCTACTATCAATATATAATCTTTCGTGTGCATGAAAATTCACCTTTTTTGAGTCGGCCATCCATCTTAAATGAATTTTTATAAATCCCTTGAAAGTTTTATTTTCCATATTTGGATTTATGCTGAGTTCATAGCTGAGAGGCAAAACATCTTTAGATAATCTGGCTTCTGATATAACGTGCAGTGAAGGTATATCGATGTCAGCTCTTACAGTTTCCTGATTAGAAAAAAAATTAAAGTTACCATGAGCTGTTTAAATTTTCTTATAGGTATAGAGGGTATGTCTTTACTTATATATATGTGGGATTGGTTTCCTTTTTAACCCTTTTTACCGGAAGTTGCTTGTGGGCAACTTTAGAACTGAAAATTACTCACCTGGTTATTAGTTAAAACATAAAAAAAATTAATTTTTAGCATAGTTAAGCATACATTTATCTTAATAATTTTCAGTTTACACTTTTATATATTACCTTTTTTATACCCTTGCAGGGTATTATAATTTCAGTCACAAGTTTGCAACGCAGTGAAGGAGACGTTTCCGACCCTATAAAGTATATATATTCTTGATCAGCATCAAAAGCCGAGTCGATCTAGCCATGTCAGTCTGTCCGTCCGTCTGTCCGTCCGTCCGTTCGTCCGTCTGTCCGTTTCTACCCAAACTAGTCCCTCAGTTTTAAAGCTATCTGAATGAAACTCTCCATATAGTCTTCTATATACTCGCACTGTTATATATGTCGGAACGGGACGGATCGGACGACTATATCATATAGCTGACATACAAATGTTCGATAAATATTTAGAAAAAAAATTATAACTTGGCTGATTTTCAACATTTTTATATTATTTCCAAATTTCGATAAAAATTTTATGAAAATCGGACGACTATATGACTATATAGATGCCATAGGAACGATCGGGAAAATAATAGGAAAATAATTATAACTTCGTTGTTTTTCAGCGTATTTTTATCTACTCTAAGATATGAGCTTTTTTTTATTATTTTAGAATTTTGGTATACAATTCAGAAATGTCGGAGAACTATATCATATAGCTGCCATAGCGATCGGTAAATGTATACAATATGTAAAACTGGTAAAATGTAATGAAACTCTGTTTTGTGTGTGTTTTCAGCAATATAATTTATAATATAAATATCAAAACCAATCTGCAAGGGTATACAATCTTTGTCGTGCCGAAGTTAGCTTTCTTTCTGGTTTCAAAGTATATTAACATTCTTGTTGCCTCGTTTAAATTAGACAACTCAATTTTTGGCGACGCACATTTACTATCAAAGAAATGGATAACAGTTAATAAATAAACAGCACAAATTTCCCACAAGAAACGCTGGGGTCGAAAGGGTTTAATAAGAAGTCCCACTAGTTTTAAGTTTTATTATATAATGATATTGTATAGTAGATAGTTTAGTTTAGTATAAGGTGATCGTTTATACGTATTTTAGAATAGTTTGTGATAGGTTTTTATGGCGTAATAATTTAATGTTCGTCGTTTAATCTTCTATTTTGGCCGTTGTAAGCTCGCGAGTCGTCTATCGTTGCGAACTCCTCGCTTTTCACCTTCCCTCTTTTCTTCTTCTGTAGCGTGGTGGGTTAGATGCCAAACCCATTCCTACAACTCGGCCATCCTTCTAAACATATGTCGCGAATGCATTGTTGTCGTCGTCCTTAGAGCTTAGATAAGCCCACGGCTTCATATACTCGGCACTGAGTTTAACTCCTAATGAAGGATTTCTTTTATCTGTACGTCAGTTTTAGTTCTCATCTTTACGCCTACTAGTAGCTCAAATGGAGCTGTGAGTGTACTCCTACAGTACATTGAGTTAATAGTTTGCTGAACACTGATTACAAATTTGTACCACTTGCTAGGATCTTCGCTCGATAGCTTGGACAGGACTGATAAAATTGTAGCATTAAGGCGTTTGACTTGTCCGTTTGCTCTAGGAAAGCCAGTCGTCACAGCATGAAGTTCGATGTTTTCGTTGGTACAATACTGCTTAAACTCGTCGGATCTGAAGGCGGTACCATGGTCAAAGATGATTTGCGCAATTCTTCATTGTTAGATTGTTCGAGAGCTAGGCGTCGCATGTCGCCCAAAGATTGCTTCCCGCCATGAAATGTCGTTCCGTTGTCCGAGTACAGCTCGGTGGGCTTCGTTCATCGGGCAACAAATCGCCTTTCCAGTCAGATCACTGACAACCTCGATATAGATTGCCTTTGTGGTTAGGCAGACAAAAATTGAAAACCATGCCTTTCCGATCCGAGGAGCTCGTCCTGTTGATTCCTTGATGGCGATCGGCGTAATCCAGCCCTGTATGTTGTTACTGGTGCCTTTGCGTTGAAGAAAGCAGCGTTTTCATTGGAAAACTGCCTTTCTGACGAGATTGCGAGCACCCAGAATCCAGTATTGCTGACGAAGATTGGTGAACTTAGCATAAACTCCAGTGTGTTGATTTGAAACGTGGAAATGTCGAACCAGGAGTCCGGCTAGTGGTGAATCCTTTGGTATTAGGATTGGATGCTTGGCTTTGAAGTTGAGTGTAGATTTTTCGATTCTTCCACCGACTCGCATAATTCCAGGATCGTCCAGAAATGGGGAGAACTGAATTAAATACGATTTAGCATTAAGCGGGCGTTGATTCTCTAGCTGCGCATATTCTCTGGCAAAGACATTTTGTTGCACGTGTCGAATGAGTCGTCATCGTGCGGCCTGCAACTCTTCGGATGTAAGAAATGGTGCCGGATTCCTATGACGAGATCGAAGAGAGTGAATAAAGCGATAACAGTAGCTAGATACCCTTACTTTTATCTGGAAAGTTATGTAGAGTTGTGGGCTTGACAGATCGCTCTTCGGTGTTGACATCGAGATTTGATGATACGCTGAACTTGCTTGTAGACGGTGGCCACTTAGAGGGCGGTGTGGCCAGCCATGATGGACCCTTCCACCACAGTCGATGCTCCAGAAGCTTGGACGGATGAAGTCCACGAGAAGCACAGTCGGTTGTCCTCTGTGCGGACATGATTCCAGCAGCTGCGGGGAAAGTCGTTCAGGATCTCAGCCGTTCGGTTGCAGACGTAGGTGTTCCAGTTTCGTGGGGAGCTGAAAGCCAGTGTAGCACAATTTCTGAATCTGTCCAGCAGCTCGTGCTGAAAATAAGAATCGTTAGAGAGGCTTTGACAATCGAGAGCAGTCGAGAAAGAAGTAACGCAGCATTCAATTCCAAACGTGGGATCGAAACTGGCTTGATCGGGGCTTCACGGGTTTTGGCAGCAACTAGTGTGATTTGAAAAATGATGCGTGAAGTTATTTTCCGCGGGAGGTATACTCCCTAATTGATGACGTTCTCGACCATGCGGTTGATTCTGGCCGATTGTAGATGCAGCTTGTGAGGTGGATGGGCAATCGCCGCTGTCCATACTGGCTCTCTCCAGGTAGTTACCAATTTGAGTTGGCTGCGCCCAGCCAGGGTGAACCAGGGTGTGATGCTTGCGGCGACAAATCTGACAAGTATGTCTCGATGTACAGTTACCCGCCATGTGACTTGGGCTGAGGCAATTGAAACATAGCTTTTTCGTCTTGAGATACTCCCGGCGAGCTGCGATGTCGAGTCCGTTGAACTGAGGACACTTGAACAGTTGATGAGTTTGCTGGCACGATGTGCATTTGGGTTCTTCTCGTCTAGGATGCGTATCTGCGTAGTGCGTTGTGGCTGCGCGTCGAGCTTGGGTTGGTCGCACTAAGTGAAAAGCCTCCAAAGTATCGCAGCGAGAGGTGAGAAATTTAAGGAATTGGTTGATGGTCACACCTTTTCCCTCGGAGTCTGCGCACTGCACCCAAGCTTGGCAAGTATCGGTATCCAATTTTGACAATAGGATGAAGATTAGCCAGGGATCCCTCTCTTCGCAGTCAAGGGCTCGAAACCACGAATAACTTCATCTGCGCCATCGACCAGTTTCCGCACTGTGCTAAGATTAGTAGACGTAGCACTGGGAAGGGTCATGAAACTGTTGAGGAATAATCGAATAATTTGCGATTGTTTGTTATATCGCTGTTCAAGCCGATCCCGATAGTTCTCATTAGTCACAGGAATATGTTTGACTAAATTCAGCGCGTCTCCGGATAGGTACGATTTGAGATAATGAAATCGTTGACAATCCGTCAGGCTCGAATTGGAAGCAATCGACTCCGTAAACATATCCGAAAAATGTTTCCAGTCCTCATAATTCCCGGAAAAGGTTGGGAGTTTGATTCGCCCGAACTGGAAATCCACATGGCTCCTCTGGGGCGCATCTGCTTCAAGATAGTTCTCATTAGTCACAGGAATATGTTTGACTAAATTCAGCGCGTCTCCGGATAGGTATGATTTGAGATAATGAAATCGTTGGCAATCCGTAAGGCTCGAATTGGAAGCAATCGAGTCCGTAAACATATCCGAAAAATGTTTCCAGTCCTCATAATTCCCGGAAAAGGTTGGGAGTTTGATTCGCTCGAACTGGAAATCCACATGGCTCCTCTGGGGCGCATCTGCTGGTTGCACAGTGACCAAAATATTGTTAGACGTTTGATCACGCCGTTACTCCCCCATAGTGTTGCTTAGAATGGCGTGTGTAGCGTAATGTTTTTCCTCGCAGGCATCACAATCGTCGCCCGGATTCTCCCAATCCGACTCCGTTTGGAAGGCATACAACTCTTCCGAATGTCGCACAAACCGCAAATAATTGTCTTGAATTTGCGACAGGCGCACCACTATTGTGTCCACTGATTGGATGTCACAGATTTGAGGGCATTATTATGCGCGCGTGTGATTTGGCTTTTACAAAAGCCCCGTTGTTGAATCACACTCCGCATGGCGATCGCGAAAAGATAACGACTCTATACGATTTTGGAATCAATAGATCACCGTTGACAAAAACCTCAATAATTAAATTAAATGGCCGAAAATAAACAGTATTGGCGGATCCGGCTCGAAGGACCAGTTTTGGGAATGTTCATAAATGAATCCGACCTAGTGTATACTCTGTTTTATGATTTTATTTATATCCGAACACTTAAATTTAACATTGTCGACCGCGATGCATTAGATTGCATTGAGAGCAAAAATGTGACTAAATTAGCTTTGGCCATGCACATCATTTAATTCTGCTAGTCGAAGACGTAAACAATACAGTTAGTTAGTTGAATGGAAAAGTA